AGTGTGTAAATTTGCACTAATTCATATATGGTCTAAACCATATATGGTCTAGTATGTAAATTTGCACTAATTCATATATGCTCTAAACCATATATGGTCTAGTGTGTAATTTCGGACAAGGCTATGTGATCATTATTACACTACATTATTGTTGGACAATGCCATGTGATCTTTGGATTAGATTCTAACCATTGGATTCTTTTTGAGACAATGCCATGTGAAAAAACTTTGACCAACATAATGCCAAATGCAATAATTTCGGACAAGGCCATGTGATCATTATTACACTACATTATTGTTGGACAATGTCATGTGATCATTATTACTTTGCATCATTGGATTCTTTTATATTGAATGACAAATGAATAAACAATTAGGTGACATTGATTTCTCTTGCATTGAATTCCTCTGTATAGTCACTATACATGTTTTGCATGTGAATTCGTTTCTCTATTTATAGATCACACTTTAAGAAGCAAAATACACATCTCATTTCTTCTTCCATTATTGAAGTAGTCTTCTTCCCACTCTTCTTGAATATCTTATTTTCTTTAAAATGTCTTCTTCAAAAGGGCCAAAATACTCCAAACCCGAAGATGTCTTAATTGTGAGATGCTACATAACTGTTTCACAGAATCCAATATCATCAAATGACCAAAATTCTTCAACCTTTTGGAAAAAAATACATGATGAATACAACTCCCAAAAACACAAGGATTTATCATAACGCTCTATAAGGTCTCTTGACTCTCGTTACCGTCTCATAGAAACTCATTGTCGGAGGTTTAATGGATGCTTGAAGCAAATCGAATATCGCAATCCTAGTGGGACACAAATCCAAGATAGGGTGAGTACTTTATTTTAAGTTCAATCTCGGTTCATGTTATTTGCTTGTTTTATAGGTATACTTACAATTATATATTTTTTACTTTGTTTGTAGATTGAACAAGCCGAACGATTGTTTGAACAAGACCCAAAATATAAAGATGGCTTCAAGTTCCAACATGTGTTCCGACTCTTCAAAGAGTTTGGAAAATTTGATGATAATGTCTCCCAACCACGATCTCGTCGTCGGGATTTCGATACACTCAATGACTCTTCCGAGTCCGACGTTCCATATGATGGACAACCAACACTAGAATCTCCGGGATTGTCGTCTTGTAGTCCTCAACAAAGTGACGATGGTGTTGGTGGAACATCCTCTCAACGTCCAATGGGAGCGAAGAAAGCAAAATTGAAGAAGAAAAATGAAGACCAATTTTGCCAGTATTTTAATACTTTAAATGCTAAAAGTGATAGTATTGTTGATTTGTTGCAGAAGGCCGAAGAACGTCAAAGTGTCCAACTTCAATTGCAGAAACAACAACTTGATTTGCAGAAAAAGAGGGATGAAGATAGAATTTTGATGATAGATTTGAATACCATTACAAATCCCATGATCCGTCGACATTGGGAACAAAAACAAATGCAAATTTTGCAAGAAAGAGAGTTTGAGCAACAACAATCTCAAGTAACACCACCACCATCTAACACGGATCAATTTGAATTTCTAGACGACATCGGGCATGCCGGAGGAAATTTGAATGATTATTATGGTGACAATTAAGTCTATTAAATCGTCTATTTTATAATCCTTTTTAGTTTTTATATTCCGTATTAATTATCGTTGTTGTACTATGTGTGAGCTTTAAGATGGGGTTTTTAGTTTATCTTTATGTTTTGATTTTAATTTTAGTGTTCGTTCCGTTAATTTAAAGTGAGTTGAATGTTTATCCTTATTTTGTAATTTTAACTTGTTTGTTTGTAATATTTACTTAAGTAAATTTAAATACTAATTAGTATTCTATCATATTAATTAATAAAGTATTCAATTTTTTATTACACTACTTAAAATTCTACCATATTAATTACAATAAATAAGTTCAAAACATTTATAAAAATATTTTAATTCAACTCATAAAACTGATTAATTCAATTAGCCCAATTGTAATTATAAAAGGCCCACCCACAATACATCTAAATAGCCCAAAATACAACCCAACTTTATTTTTTAACAAAAAAGAAAAAGAAAAAAAAAAAGAAAAAATTTTGTAGCGGATGAATAGTGGAACGGTTGCCAAACCGTTCCACAAATCCCTTCAGCCGTTTCCTGCACAAATAGAGGGCTCCATTGGAGATGATTTTTCTCCAACCATGAAGTTTCCACTTGCTATAGAGGATGGGTTGGAGATGCTCTCAGGCCTTAACCAACGGTCATAATTTTTTCTTTCGTTTTATTTTCTCTTTGTCGTATATACAATAGTTATTTTCTCCGGGGCGTCTCCAAAAATTTGGAGGCCCAGACAATTTTTTCAAAAAAGGCCCGCAATCATATTTTTATATTTTTATTATTTTATTTGGACAAATAATAACAAGCATTGCCAATAATAAATACGAAAAATACGATGAATATGAGAAAAATAAGTAAATTAAAATATAAAAACTTACAATCTTCTTGTCTTCTTTTGTACAAAATTATCAATCAATTCACCATAATCAAGTTTCATAACCATTTTTTTTTTTCAATGGATAACATTGCTAAACCGTTCAATCTATCCTGAGACATCGTTCGAAGGTAATTTTTTATCAACTTCAACTTGAAAAAACTTCTTGCAATATAAGAAGCCAANCCTTACTCTCTGCTACCCGCACAAACAGAACATAAAAAATAACCAAAAAAAAAAACTCTCACTCCCAAAATAATCCACCAATAGGTCCGCAACAAAGGAAATTAATATATCATAAACCCTAATTCATCTTCATTCTTCAACCAGTAAAAAAAATTAGCGAAGGAAATCAATAAATCTTAAATCCTAATTGATCTTCATTCTTGATAGGAGCGCTTGGAGGCTCGCTATCAACGTGCCAGAACCGTGACTTTTGCTCCTTTGTCTCTCTCTCTCTCGGTTTTTTTTATTTTTTTTGTATTTCTCTTGAGTTTCATCTCTAGCCTACCCCAACTTACTTGGGACTAAAGGCTATGTTGTTGTTGTTGATCTTCATTCTTGATTCTTCAACCAGATGGAACATATTATCAAAATTGTTTCGAAACTCGTAATGCATAATCAAAATTAAATTCAACAGATAGGGAAAAATTTTAGAAAATAGAAGAAGAATTCCTACCGATATGTTGATGGAGAAGCTCGGTGGCGGCGGGAGCGACGCGTGAGGCGGCTGGCTCGCGGTTGTGGTGACTGGTGAGGCCCTGAGGGCGGAGGCCAGAAGGTCGAGCTCGAGCAGATGTGAGAATTGGAGTTTAATCTTTAATCGTTGTTTCATGAAATGAATTATTTGGTGGGCAGAAGAAAAATGTACTCGTTTACATGTATGATGTATCTAAATGGATTAAGCCAAGCCAACGTAATATATGAAAAAAAAAAANGAAAAAAAAAAAAAGCCCACCTCAAGGTATAGTATATAGAGAGATATATATGTATGAGGCCCCTAGAAAATTGTGGCCCTAGGCTCCTGCCTGGCCCAAGAGCCGGCTCTGATTTTCTCTGCGGAGGCGGCCAAAACCTTAACATTCTCTGCTGCACCTACTGCAGATTTCAGAGCTTCGGTAGCCTCCGTCGACTTCTCGCCTGTTTCAACCGAAAGCTTGGCCTGCAGTAGAAGTGACGGCTACTGCTTTCATCAGTGATTCGGTTAAACGGGTTTCTTCCTTCGCGACGGCGGCGGCCGCATTCTCAACTTTCGCCAAGGCCAGAACTGCATCTTCTGTAGACTTACGAGCTGTAATCACAGCGAGCACAGTATCACCACCTGTGGCCTTGAATGCACATGCCGCAACCCTAAGAGCATTCTTAACTGGCTGGTCCACCTGGGCAAGCACTTTTTGATCCGCGACATCAACCTCCTCCTTTCTCGCTTTTTCCTCCTCTGCTTTCTTAGCAGACTCGCGATTGGACTCTTCGGAGTGCTTCAGGCAACCCAACAGTAAGGTGCAAGCCGAAGTAATAGCTACCGCCAAGATCTTATAATATTTCTGCTTCCGGAGTTGCAGAAACAATCCCGCCCCAAATGAAGATTACCCGACGCATCCACAACAATTGCAAGCTTGCAGACGCAGATCAGGCGGATTGTCCCGACAAACAGAATGGAGATAACACAATAGTTATAACACATCACCAGAACCAATCACTCACATCCATCATTAATTCTCACCTACCACACCAAAAACACCATGGATATCGCCGAACCAATTGATTACTCACTATTACTTAGGCTCAAGCTATGGTTTTCTTTGGCTGGTGAGCACTGTCATCTCAAAGCTTTTCACTAGGCTCAAACCATGGTTTCTTTGGCTGGTCGGCGCTGATATTTCAGAGCTTTTCACGTATGTCGTGATATTGACCACGGAAAACGATCTCGCAGAATTGTTGTTTGGACTTCATAAACCAAAACACTTTCTGCGAGATTGTTTTCCGTGGTTAATATCACGACATACGTGAAAAAACTCTGAAATGACAGCGCCGACCAGCCAAAGAAACCATGGCTTGGGCCTAGTGAAAAGCTTTGAGATGACAGCGCTCACCAGCCAAAGAAACCATAGCTTGAGCCTAAGTAATAGTGAGTAATCAATTGGTTCGGCGATATCCATGGCGTTTTTGGTGTGGTAGGTGAGAATTAATGATGGATGTGAGTGATTGGTTCTGGAGATGTGTTATAACTATTGTGTTATCTCCATTCTGTTCGTCGGGACAATCCACCTGATCTGCGTCTGCAACCTTGCAATCGTTGTGGATGTCGTCGAGTTGTACGATTGCCTCTTATCTTCATTTGGGGCGGGATTGTTTCTGCAACTCCGGAAGCAAAAATATTCTAAGATCTTGGCGGTAGCGATTACTTCGGCTTGCATTTTACTGTTGGGTTGCCTGAAGCACGCCGAAGAGTCCAATCGCGAGTCTGCTAAGAAAGCAGAGGAGGAAAAAGAGAAAGGAGGAGGTTGATGTCGCGGTTCAAAAAGTGCTTGCCCAGGTGGACCAGCCAGTTAAGAATGCTCTTAGGGTTGCGGCATGTGCATTCAAGGCCACAGGTGGTGATACTATGCTCGCTGCGATTACAGCTCGTAAGTCTACAACTCGTAAGAGCCTTGGAGAAAGTTGAGAACGCGGCCGCCGTCGTCGAGAAGGAAGAAGCCCGTTTAACCGAATCACTGATGAACAGTAGCCGTCACTTCTACTGCAGGCCAAGCTTTCGGTTGAAACAGGTGAGAAGTCGACGGAGGCTGATATGCTTGCAGCCGAAGCTCTGAAATCTGTAGAAGGTGCAACAGAGAATGTTAAGGTCTTGGCCGCCTCCGCGGAGAAACAAGCCACTTTAATTGAAGAAATTGAGAAAGCGGCATCCGCCGTTAGTAAGGATGTCGAAAAAGCCAAGGCCTCCGTGGAAACAACCGAGATATTGAACAAGGCAACACAGAATTAGGATAATTCTTCGAAGACGGCAGCAGAGACTGGCAAGAACCTGCCGGAGGGGATGCGGAAGAGGAATCCCCCGCCCCCGCACCGCAAGTTTACTGCATCAAACCTTGATTAGCTGGAAACTTGCGGCTGCAGGGGCGGGGATTCCTCTTCCGCATCCCCTCTGGCAGGTTCTTGCCAGTCTCTGCTGCCGTCTTTGAAGAAGTATTTGAATTCTGTGTTGCCTTGTTCGATATCTCGGCTGTTTCCACGGAGGCCTTGGCTTTCTCGACCGCCTTACTAGCAACGGATGCCGCTTTCTCAATTTCTTCAATTAAAGTGGCTTGTTTCTTCGTGACGGAGGCGGCCAAGACCTTAACATCCTCTGCTGCACCTTCTGCAGATTTCAGAGCTTCGGTAGCAAGCATATCAGCCTCCGTCGACTTCTCGCCTGTTTCAACCGAAAGCTTGGCCTGCTATAGAGCAAAATCATTGACCTTGAAATCATCTGAAGCAGTAGCAGCAAGAAATGAAAAAATACCTGAGCAAGAGTTTTAATCCATACCACTGCTATAGAGCAAGGCCTGCTATAGAGCAAAATCATTGACCTTGAAATCATCTGAAGTAGCAGCAAGAAATGAAAAAATAGCTGAGCAAGAGTTTTAATCCATACCAACAAAAATCATTTATTACCAACACATTTCCATAAAAATGGCTGAAACAATGTAAAATATGACAAAATTGAGACATGGTAGTGAAGTTCATATCAAGTATCCTTTGTCATAACTCTTTACCAAATACCATGAAATAAGATAAAAGTGATCTCAACAATTTCTATGTACAAAAAGTGCCGGAAAATGACAAGTTTATCAAGGTTGAAGTAACTGAGCATTAAAATTTATGTACAGTATATATCGAATCAACCATACATGATAAGAGCCTCAAGCACATCTTTCATTATTTCTTATATCCATCTTAAACTAAAAAGGCCAGTAGCGTGTCCTCACATAACTGTGGATTAAGGAAAAGGACAGAACTCATAACCTCAGAACTTAACTCTATTTATTAAAAAATTATATGTAGTATACTCAAAAGTGATTACTAAAAAGAAGTTAGTAATATAAGTTAAAAGACAAATTAAAAAAATATAGATCCTGTAATATTCTCATTCATAGGAATGCAATCCAACATTGGAAGAACCTTATGTTCTAGGAATCTATTTCCCCTGAGAGCTTTTTCCAAAAAGTTTTGAAAACAACCATAATCATTTTATTGATATACTAATATATGCATACACATACTAGCATGCTCTTTGCACGGCCGGCCCACGGTTCAACCTAAAATATTGTTTTATAATTAGAAAATGATCAAAAGGTAATATAAAAACCACAAATAGATTGTCAAATAATATAACACATCGATTAGAACACGAAATACAGAGTAGCATTACTCTGCCATTCTTAGAACAGAATACGTCTCCTTAAACAATCATTCAATCAAATACAGAGCTAGCTTCATCATTGAAATACAATTCAGAAGAATATCAAACCTGTAAGGCAGGCTTTGTAGGAAAACAAAAAGTAGTAAGTTTCGTTGGACCATAAATAGAGTTTTTGTTTTTGCCTTCAGCTCAAAAGAATGTGATAGAACAGCCTGCTGAGTAAATGGATAATGATATTAACAAGAGCATATTGTAGATAATCTGACGTGAGATTAGCCACTTGTGTTTCGTTCCCAAATTCTTTGAATAATAATAAATTACACATGAAGCCTTTGCCATGAAATTGAGGAATTACCATTGACGACTTCAAATACCTCCGGGGACCAGCTTTCGTAATTTAGTGATACATCATATGGAGTCGTGAACATGCAAAATAATTTTGCATTAGAACATCATTGCAGAAGGCCGTAATCAAAACAAGAGCTATCTCATGTAGTTGACGATTAAATCTCCAGATTGTACACTTTCCATTAGCAGCTTAATGTTTCTATACATTAGTAAACAACAATAGTGCCAAAAGATGACGAATGAAAGCATCAAAGTGATCACCAACACATACCATGAATCCCATTAAACACAAATTAATAGTTAAATGAAACAAAAAAGAAGCAAAAAATCTAACACAAAAAATTAGGCCAAAAGGGTTAGTGAATGCAATCTTTCCTTTCCCCAGCCAAATAAAAGGAATAATGTAAAATATGTACTCTACATATTAAAATTTTTTTCAAAATAAATCATAGGTGATGGTACATACAATATAAACGGTCCACATATGCATTGAATCATGCTGCTAGGTATCTACTTAACTCCTTGTAAATGCACCTGTCATCTATTATTCATCATCTATTCATCATCTATTCAGACAAATTTGAAATATTTGAAAATCTGATAGTACTTACAATATGTTAAAATAAAAATAATTTCTTTTTATTATTTATGTAAGTAAAGAGCAAAGCACAACATTCCAATGTAAGTGAAGAAATTATACTTTACTTTTATCACTAAAATAAAAAAAATACAATTTCAATCGTTTTAATAAATTGGAAGAGAGAAGCATGAATTAATAGTCACAATCAGGGGCGTAGCTACTTGAGAACCAGAGTGGGCCTAGGCCCACACTCAAAAATACAAAGTGAACATAAAATTCTCAAGGGTCCTAGTAACTTAAGTAAAATAAGCTTATTTCAAAAACATGGTAAGAAAAGTAGATTTAGGAAGAAGAGAGAAAAAAAAATATATATATAATAAAAATAAGTTGAAAATATATTTCTTTTTTCAATAATTCTTGAAAATTAATGGAATATAACTCTTATTTTATACTTCACTTCATTTATTGATTGGTAATTTTACTAATTTTAATTTTCCCGATATTATATGCTATTCAATTAATTTGTTTGTAATTAATATCTGATAATTAGTCCCTTTGATTGTTTTTCTTTCTATTAGGTCAACAAATATGGTTTGAATATTGTATTTATTGTTGTTTTTAAATCTAAGAGAAATTTGTAATAGATATTTATTAATGTATAGGTGCTAAAATAGTAAGATATGTTTAATTTGAATGTATAACTATTTTTTTTAAAACTTTCATAGAGCGGATGAATAAAACCTTTAAAATGGCCATATCAAGAAAATGTGAAATTATTATTGTCTTGAAAATTTTATGTATTTTCTTTTTATTTTTTTACTTAAAATATTATTTTTATTTCTTTTTGTCTTTGATTTTTACTTATAAAAGATAATGTTACGCTACTTTAAAAATTTTAGGCCCCTACTCATATAGATTGCTAGATTCGCCCCTGGTCACAATAACACAAAATATTTAGGTTAAAGAACATGTTCCATAATTTTCAAAGAAGCTTGCAAACGTAAGCATAGAACAAAAAACAAACACAAAAAATTCGAATAAAAAATCCAAAATAATAATAATAAAATGAATAAAAAAGAACTAACCTACATGCAAACACAAATATCATTTTAAAAAAAATAATGGCATGTCATACATTTTAAACAAACAATTTAGCACCTGAGAACTTAGGTAAATCGGATCCATCAAATTGTATGGTATTATCAGCGTCTCTTGCCCAAATCCCAATAATTAACTGGAAAAACCAACACGCAAGAAAAGCCTTCATATAAAACCAAACAAATAAGATTGTTATTTTCATGGGAAAATTGACTTTTAAAACAAACAACCTAGTCTTATGAGCAAGAAATGCAATAACAATTGAAAAATACAACAATACATCTAAAGTATTAGGAGTGCTTCACCAACATAAGAAAATTGATATATTGCATCTCAAAGAAGTTAGGTGATTACAAAAAATAGCTACACTGGAGAAGTTTACACAAATTTTACACGTGATGGAAAAGGATGGAGATGCAAAAAATCTTATTAATAGCTCATTGCATGGGATAGATCTTAAACGTAATTAAGTTCAATTTAGAAGTTACATTTGTGAATTAAGATTTCATCACTCTTTATAATTGGTATTAGAATTTGCTGGTGCAATTGGAACAAAACGTTAAGAACTAACAACGTATTTGACAAAGAAATCTGTAAGCTCCTATGGAGAGGAGCATCCTTCGAAATAAACTTTCTTAATCTCTAGAAACAATCTTCAGTATGCTCAAAGTAAAAGACCATATTTAATTTAAAAGCACGAACTAACAGCCCAAGCAGGAAAAGATAACCTAAATTCATTTTCATTCCCTCAAAGTATGCTCAAAGTAAAAGACCATATTTAATTTAAAAGCATGAACTAACAGCCCAAGCAGGAAAAGATAACCTAAATTCATTTTCATTCCTCAAATGATTACTTAGTTTTACAAAACTGAGAGAGAAAAATAATACCAAATACATAGATTTAGATATCAGTTTTAACTTTTTTTGGAGTTAATATGAGAGAGATTAGACTCCATAAGCAACACACATATTATGGAATTTTTAATAAATTTACCAAAATCTGACTGAAGAGACCTTAAAGAGATAACTCGTGAAATCAACTGCAAAAGCAAATGTCATTGTAAAAAAAAAAAGAGAGATGAGATTAACAGACGCTAATAATCCAGCAGTTGACAACATCAAAGTCTTTGACCAAGGAATGTTTCACCATCAAGCAAAAAGGGTGATGAAGATAGTTTACCCAGCTTCAATAACAAGGACTTTCTTCAATTGGTCCACTCAAGACCTCAAGGTTCTCTTCTTTGGCAACAAATAACCTGATTCCATTTGGGAAATCATGTCTTTTGCAATAGCAAAGCCTCAACATTACAGTAAATCAAAAGAAATTAATAGCTTGGACAATAAATAAAAGAAAACACTAAACTAAGCATTAATCTAACCATATATAAACACAAGCATACTATGGATGATAAGAAAACGTTAGAAATATGGTATTCGCTACCACAGAAAACACAATCATCAAAGAACAACAACAGCAATCACGATATATGCAGGCTTACACAAGCACAAACAGAGCCTAGAGGCCAGAAGATATTGCAGCAGCAAATCAATAATTTGTTCTATCACATCGTAGATCACAGAATATTACAACTTTTATAAATAAAAAAAATTAAAAAATGAACTTTAAAAGCAATTAACATAATAAATATAAATAGCATCCAACATCTAAAATTCTATAGGTACTGTATTTGCAGAAAATACATGTGCAACTGAAACAATATCGGGTAATAGCAAAGTACCTTTAAGCTGAAGAACATTGAGAATATGACTCAAATGCTCGAGCGGCCGTGTGGCGGCCACATGATTGATAAACGATGAGTGTTCTTCCATTCAAACAACCCAAATATTAACATTAGTGCGTGTGAATCCACAGTTATATATCCAATTTGTAATTCGTATGTGCTAAAAAAGTACGGTACCTAAAATACCAGAAAAAGATGAAGAGTAGCAGCGGAAACTCTCTTCCGGGCTCGTCAGCCCGTCAAGTTTTGTAGAAGGCGCTTCCCGTCATATGTGCCTCTCGGACAGCTCTCGAATAACTCCGGCATGAATCGACTGCTCCCTTTAAGCACCCGATTAAAGCATAAATCAACCAAAAAGGAAATTTCAGTCAATAGAAGCAAAATAGATGGGAAATTAAATCAGAACAAATGCTGGAATAGAAAATAACGGACGAAAGTGTTGAAACCCCCTTTCAATTGCTGGAATATGCCCGTAAAACGAAGACACGAAGTCTCTCCGCTCGTCCTTCTTTCCAGTACCCTCAGTGAGTCTCGGCTCTGTGGTGCTGAAGACCGGCGACCACAGTTCGTTGGCTACATTCTTCACGCCTCACAAACAATCGACCGAAGGTTTATCTGTGTATCGTGAAGAACAGAGAAGGAGAAACATAGGGAGAGAGAGTTTAGTCCGCAAGAATGAGAGAGGAGATTATTTAAAGCGTTTCTGATCCCTAAAATCAACGGTTCAGAAACTTCTTCATAAAACGATGTCGTTTTTATATTGAGCGACGTGGCCTTCTAATATTAAAAGAGACACGTGTCAAGAAAAGGAGACATATGCTTCCTTTTTATAAATAAGAAGTATATAGAGATAGATAGATATAGATCGTTGTACTTGTGCAACTTTTGTTATTACAGGGGTTGGTTCAAATAAAAACTAGTTCTGGTGTGAGAACCGTGAGACCGTGAGAACCATATTTGGTGCTATTTTTAATTGTGTATGATGTTATTTTTAATCTCACATGGTGCTATCATTTTTACAAATGCTAACATAAATTGTGTTGCTATTTTTAATAAAATACATCCTGATTAAAAATAGCACTAAAATACAATCAATCATAGCACTACATACAATTAAAAATAGCGGTTCTCACGGTTCTCACGCTAGGACTTAGTTCTCATTTGAACCAAATCCTGTTATTACATATACATTTTTGTTGGATTACTTACTTTAAAGTATGCAGTTTTATATATATTATGACTTATATTTTTCACCCATTGATCGGAACTTAGCAAAGAAAGTTACATCGACCAAGAAATGCCTAAATTTGAGTATAGTTTAGTTATCAATCAGTTATATCACCTAATAAGAAAACATGATCAGTGAAAGCATGAGATAAAATTTTACATGACATTCTACTGTCTTGAAAATGTATAACATTAACAGTTTAGCGAGTATTACAAAACCAAAGTTCGCTCTATACCCAACACAGACAACTCACTGGAATAAGTTTCCCCATAAACGTATCTTGGATTTCCTTGTTTGGTTTTATTTTCACATTCGCTATGGCTTATTGAACTGTGAAGAATTACCAGCCATGTACCATGTACCAGTTAAAAGATCCTGATAAGGAATAAATTATAATTGCACATTGCATTATGATGGTCACCTTTAAATTATAAATATATAGTTTAACAATTCCACAAAAACTGACCTTCTACAGCTCATCATGGCCATCATCTCCATCATCTGTTGTCGTGTCTCCAGCTAGCGCACCACCAGTCCTTTGATAAACAGCGGTTATGATGGGATTGCACACGGCCTCGACCTCCTTGAGCTTCTCCACGCAATCCTCCTTCTCGGCATTTTGGTAGTCGTCCAGCCACTCGAGCGCCCCCTTAGTGCGGCCTCGACCTTGTACTTCTTGTCTGGCTCCAATTTGCCTGCCAACTTGTCCTTGTCGTTGAGTTGATTCTTCATGTTGTAAACGTACGTCTCAAGGCTGTTGCGAGCGTCGATTCTCTCCTTCACATTTTTGTCCTCCTCGGCAAATTCCTCAGCCTCACGGACCATGTGGTCAATTTCTTCTTGGCTCAGGTGGCCCTTATCGTTGGTGATGGTGATTTTCTCCGACTTGCTGGAGGCTTTGTCTTCGGCTGTGACGTTGAGGATGCTGTTGGCATCCACCTCGAAGGTCACCTCAATTTGCGGGGTCCCCCTGCTCGGCAACATTCACAGAATTTGAATCATTTTATGAATTTGAGGCAACAATTACAATCTCAAGAAGTTAAAACTAAATTATGAAACTTTAGGGTAATGGTTGTAAAAAACAATACAGACCTGGGCAGGGCAAATTCCTGTGAGATCGAATTTCTCGAGCAGCCTACAATCCTTTGTAAGACACCTGTTACCCTCAAAAACCTGTTGATACACAAAAGCAGTTTAGTTGTTAGTGTTATTATAAATCGGAAAAGTGGTATCTTGACTTGGAAATAGCTTATGATACCTGCCAAGATATCCATCAGAAAAGCCAACTTCTCTGATGGTTGTTCTGAGAAAACCAAATACGAAATAGGTAGCAACACAAAAAGTATAATATTGGGAAACTCAGAGGAAGAGATTTCATACTCGGAGAAAAAGAGCCGGCACTCTCAGAGCAGCTTGCTAGGTTTTTCAGAAATTTAGATTTCTTTATACCTGACAAAAAAATCCCAGATCTATACAAACAAATGAACTTAATGACCACGCGTCGCAACGCGGCAAAATTAATATTTATATTTTTCCTCAACTAACCTCTACTAACTAGTAGTAGTGGCGAGCAAGGGTC